ATATCTTGAAATTCGTCCATCTTCTTTCATTTTTCGCGGTTCGTTAATAAATTTGTATTTTTGCGTTGTCGCTTTATTTCTTTTTTGTATTACCCCTTCTTTTACACTTCTAATTTTTATATATKTGTCAACTTGAATATCCTGTAAAGCATCTATAAATTTATATAGTAATAGATAATGATGATACAAATACGCATTAAATTTTGAATGGAAAGATTCACATACATTATTTGTTATAACTTCTTCTTTTGATGCCCACAAAGAAGGAGGGAATAAGTCTTGCATATAAGTTTCTGTCAAATAGTCGCAAAATTGTACTGTTTTATTATTAGATGGCATATCTGCAATTAAATCAAAAATAAACGAATCTTCGACTTCGTCAGTGTCAAGGAACGGGAGACCAAAAATATAATTTAAAAATTTTCCTTCAACTGTGTCTTCTTCAATGTAAAGATTATATAGACCCGAATTTTGTAATTTTCTAAACCACTAGTATTAACAAATGTAAAGGAACCGATATTACCGATATGTTTCGATATATCTTAAAAATACATTTGGATTTACCTTACCAATTTGTACGCAAGACAAATTAAACGATATACGTATATGGTAGGTATATACATAGGTATATACATAGAAGGTATATAAAATAAATTGCCACAGTTTGTATAATGTATCTTATCGGTTTTGCCGCAGATTGTATAATCTTAATTTTTTTTTTGCCGTAGTTTATATATCGACTTTTAGAAAAAGGTTAATTTTGCCGCAGTTTACCATCTCCCTAATAATCGCAGCAAGATACATTTCCGGATTAGTCCGGTTTAATGAGGTTCTACTGTCTCGAGATTTTGCCTAAACTCTTTTACAAAAGTGTAAATATCAAAAATAAGAATATTTCTACCTTATATTTTGACATTGAAACCATTCACGTGTTTCGTGATATCCACCAAAAAAGCTAATTTTCAAACCAACTTACAATCCGTAAGTAAATGCAATGATCGATTCTTTTAATTTAAAAATATTTCGATTACATTAATTCTTATCTCAAAAAATCGTAGTACTATTTTTTCATGAAGCGGTCGGTTAAAACATGTTCGCGGGCCGTAGTTTAGAGACCCCTGACATACGTTTAACAAATAATTACCTACATAACATTAACTCGAAAGATTACTATTAGTACGTAGTAAGTTATTATTATTATATCATTATATTGTTCCATCAACATTTATTTTTCTATAGACATTAACATGAATGCTTCAAGATTATCATAAATTATTGAGTTAAATATATTTTATTATTTTATATATTATATTATATTTTATAGGCATTAAAGAGTAGAAAACAATTTTCGATTATTCTTTTATCATACTAATTTTATAAAGACTCAAAAAGTCAACAGTTAAATTTCCCGCAGTCACAGAATTAGTGTAGTTAGCAGCGCCGCAGCGCCGCAGCGGTGTTATCATCCTTAGAGTTTATAGCCAATGGAGCCATGTAACCGCCCATTTTCATGTGATTATTGATTTTAGCCATCTTACCGAGTCCAGACTTCTATGATTACTGATTGGTGTGATTAGCAAAGCCTCAGTCTCACTCGTATTGTTTATGTCCTTAATGACTATTATATTCTCTGTAAGTGTTGTAGGTAGTAAGTACCTAATTATTTAAAAAGTATAATTACTTATTAGTTGTTTATCTTTGATACAAATTTCTGTTGTTATAATATTACTTATAATAATTCATAAGAATTTGACTTTATAAAATGGCGTCTTCTCAAGAAAAACCAGGAAAGCATAATGGACCCGAAGACGCACAAATCATTGTGTCTATAATGAAAGATTTGGGAATTGATGAATATGATCAACAAGTTTTAAATCATCTTTTGGAGTTTAACTACAGTAATTATTACTACAATGAAACTAATTTGTAGTGTTTCACCAATATGAATAATTTGTATTTTTTATTTGTTAGGAAACACAACACAACTGTTGGAAGATGCTAAGTCGTTTTCAAACTTCGCCAACAAGAAGCAGATAGATGCCGATGATGTGAAAATGGCAAAGAAATTTTCGGACAGCAAAGAACTTCATCGACCTCCTGCACACGATGTAAGGTCATTTCAACTAAAATTAATTGTACTACATATTTCCAGTATAATTTATTAAATTTCATCCCTAATTTCATTATGTATCAAGTTGAATTATGATAAAAGAATGGACCATTATTTACAAATTAAAATGTGTTTAATCAACATTATTGATAGTTATTATTAGGGCTCGGATGTTGTTGCACTAAAAATGTTATAAAATTGATTGCATTATTGCTGTGAAAAAAACCTAAAATTGCACTTAAAATTTACACTAAAAATTGCAATAAAAAAATATTTTGTACAAAATAATTTWAAAAAAATGTATTAACAAATTATTTTATGAAATGGATTAAGTCATTTTATTAAGTTATATTATAAAGTTTTATTAGATAGGTTTTAAACGAGTAGATAATAAAAAATATTCAAATTCAAA